GGGGTCGAGCCCCCAGCCCTCCGAGGTCTGCCCCGAATCCGAGTCGTCAGGGCCCCACGTCCCAGGCACGTCCCCCACACCATAGGCCGCCGACCACAGCCCGGGGGGCTCGCTCTCCTCCTCGGCCACCTCTGCCAGGAAGTCCTCATCGTCCTCCTCCTCGTGGTCCTCCATGTCGTTGGTCCAGAACCAGGCACCTGCGGGGAATAGGGGAGGCAGGCGAGCTGGGAGGAGCCGGGCCAGGGGCCCTGCGGGCTTTGCTCATGGCTCCTCCCCCTCTGGGCTCCTCTCCACCAGCCTGAGGTTGGCCAGCAACCAGGGGCCCGCCCTGCCCCCCAGCAGAACCAGGAAAGCCTGCCCCGGGCCAAGGGGACCTGGGGCTCTCTGCACGCACCCCAGGAGGCTCTACCAACGGTGCGGGCACAGCCCCAGCTTCCCTGTGAAGCCGTCCCCAGCTTGGCTTTTTCTAAGTGGCTGTGCCTTTGGGAAATGGTCCTTCGTCGGTGGAGACTGAACTGCAAGCCACTTCCCGTCAGGAAGGACAAGGAGTCCCAAGTTCCGCTGTCCTGTCCCCCACCTCCCCTCAGCGCAGAGTATAGAGCTGGGGCCAGGTGCGCAGGGCTTCCTGGCTACAGTGGGAGTGCTGGTGGCCTGCACACTGGAGGGAACTGTATTTATGGAGCCAGCGCCCTCACACCGGGAACAGAGGAAGCCCCGCCCCAGGCGAGGGTGCACCCTGCTTTCTCTGTACACTTCATGCTGTGTCCACTAGGCGTGCACCCTGCTGTCGCTGCCTGCGTGGGAGTCTGGCCAGAACCCAAACCTTAGATGTGCCCCAACTTGTCAAGAGGAATCAGTAATGGGGGGGGGGGGGCAGTTTAGCAGACAGACTTGCAGTTAACTCATCCTGCAGAGTGACCCCAGCATTTAACACTGTGCTTGGATCCTACACCTCAGACTGCGGATGGCTGGGGCTGGGGTGAGGGGTGGGGGAGCATCCCAGGCTCCAAGCTAGGTTCACCCGCACATCGTGGCTCCACCCAGGACCCTCCTGGAACCACGGAGAATGGGGTACAAATAGATCCTGTGACGAGAGACTGGCCAATGCCAGCCCCGTGACCCCTTCACCTCCAGGCGGCTTTTCTGTGGGTGGGGGAGCATCCCAGGCTCCAAGCTAGGTTCACCGGCACATGGTGGCTCCACCCAGGACCCTCCTGAAACCACGGAGAATGGGGTACAAATAGATCCTGTGATGAGAGACTGGCCAATGCCAGCCCATGACCCCTTCACCTCCAGGCGGCTTTTCTGAGATTGCCTGTACACGGGACACACGTCCCTCTAAGACCAGTGGTTCTCAACCTTCCTAACGCCGCGACCCTTTAATACAGTTCCTCATATTGTGGTGACCCCCAACCATAAAATTATTTTCGTTGCTACTTCATAACTGTAATGTTGCTACTGTTATGAATCGTAATGTAAATATCTAATATGCAGGATGTATTTAGGCGACCCCTGTGAAAGGGTCGTTCGACCCCCAAAGGGGTCGCGACCCACAGGTTGAGAAACGCTGCTCTAAGACCCTCTGGGACAATCACCACTATCCCAGTCCCGTTCTGGAGGCAGCAGCGATGTGTCTGGCTGGCCAGACCGCCTGATTCTGAAGTCGGGACAGATCCCAGGTGAATGGGCTCCTGGGCAGACAGCCCACTTGCCACCCAGTGGAACGTGAGGCCCGAGGCTGAGCCCACGCGGGAAGCCAGGCCACCCCCACCGCGGTCAGTGTCCTCAGGTGCCGCTGTTTCACACGCTGTTCTGAGCATAAAGCACGGAGAAAATACTCTGAAGAACACACTGTCTGTGCTGTTCTGTATTTTTTTATTTTAAAACACGTCTGTGAGTCTATCCAGGCACGGGACTGGCATGAGACATCAGTGACGCTCACTAGACTGGCGTCACTCCAGCCCAAAGCCCAGTGCGCTCCTGTGCAAGGCCTTCCCGAACCTTCCGAAACACTGAGACGCACAGGCCTCCGCGAGACACCGCACAGAACCCCCCGTCCGACGTCCTCAGAGCGGAAACTACAGGTTTAGTTCACATTCTTCCTTCTCCAGACGAGTGAGGTGAGGCCCAGACAGATGGGGGGCCAGAGCCAGAGCCAGGTTCCAGGCCCCCAGAGACCTCTGCCCCCTGAACTTCCTGTAAGAACCTCTCCAAGTCTCCCTGGAGGCCCAGGGCTGCCGCCTGGCCAGAGGCCTGTCCCTGGGCTTCCCGGGAGAGGAGGGGCGCTCAGAGGGACCCACTGTTCAGAGATGCCGAACGGATGGAGAAGCCAGAGGACCGGCTCGGGCAGTGCCAGGACCCACAGTCCACTCTGCACCTGTAGCCCCTCTGAGCCGGTCACTTAACAACCGGCCCTCATTTGCAAACAAAACAAGAAATACCCAGAGACTCCGAGGCCAGGACTGGGGTCCCTTGTAAAGCCGCCTAAAAGGAAACTAGGTTCTCTAGGGACCTCCCAGCCCTCGCCTCTCCGCAGACTGAGGCCGAGAGAAGCCAGCCCACGAGGCAGGTCAGCCCGTGTGGCCGCCCCGTCTCTGCAAAGCCCACCCCACAGCTCAGACCACCAGCACCAGGCCAAGGTGAAGGCCAAAGTCGGGCAAAGCTCCGAGAAGCGGTGTTGGCAGAAACCCCACGAGACTCTGTCTCACGCTCACCTGTATAGACGCCAGTGACAATGTCTCCCTCCTCAGGACGGGGGCTGTCTGGGACCCAAGGTTCCTCTCCTTGTTCCAGCCGGAAGATCAGATCTGGCTTGGGGATGGGGTACCCTGGCATGGAGAAAGACAGACAGGCTGTCGCTGTGCCTGAGGCCGCCCTCATGCCACACAACACTGTCACCTCCAATCCTCAGTTCCTCTCTCCTCCATCCTCCGAGGACCACCGCCCCCCTCCCTGCCCCTCTGGAAGACCCCACACTCCCCTCTCTCGAGCCTTGCCCGATACCCTGGCTCTCCTGCCAAGCCCCTCCACACACCTGCGGGGTGCCCACCCTCTCCTCCGTCACCCCTTGAGGCCTGGCATCTCCAGAACATGTCCACCTGGCTTGTGGTACTACTGGGCAATACTGGGGCCCCCATGACCCCACCCACCCATCCAGAAGCAGGGTGGTCCATGGGGACCCCCTGGGCGGTGGGCTGGCACCAGCACCCCCTTCTCCAAGACCTCGCGGCTCCAGACAGCTAAGCCCCTGGCAGCCCGCGCACTGGGCTGCCTCCTGGGGACAGAAGGCCCTGCTTACCCAGGGACACCAGGATGCCGTAGTTCTCCTGCATGACTTCCTTGTAGAGGTCCCGCTGCGCAGCAGCCAGCCTTTCCCACTCCTCCAGGGAGAAGTACACAGCCACGTCCTCAAAGGTCACCAGCCCCTGGGGAACAAAGCACCCGGTCATGGCTCCACACGGCCCAGGTGAAGGGCAGGGCCCCCAGGGGAGAGTGAAGATGACCGCAGCAGGATGACCGTGGCCCTGAGACAGGGAACCCAGCAGGCCTGCAGAGCCCGACAGCACGGGGCTTCCTGGCCCGGCCATGGCCCTTCGAGGCAGGGACCCCATTCCCATCCAGAGAGGAGGGGCCCGGGCTCACAGAGGTGAACACCCAGCTCGCATGGGGCAGAGCCAGGATTCACACGGAGGTCAGGGGACGCCAAAGCCCAGGCCTCACGGCTGTGCTGTGTGGCCGCCTCGTCCCCTCCTACTTCACTGTTTGCCTCAAGCCAGTGGTCACGTCGGCAACGCGAGGGCCCGCACCTGGGTGGACAGGTGGCCCCAGCTGAACCGAGTGTGGGCACAGGAGCCTGATGTGACCGGCTCCGCGGGAAATCAGAGCCCGGACAAGTGACGGGCACTCCGGGGAAGGGGCACGGCCTGACCCGGGAGAGCCAGGCCTCTGAGGAGCTGCACAGCGCAGGTGAGTGGGCAGCGCGACCAGGACATGCCAAAGGCCTGGGAAGGGCCGGCCCAGGGGAGTGGAACCGCATCCCGTGGGGCTCAGGATGCCTGGCACTTCCTGCAGCCACGTCCCAGCTCGGCCTGGGCTCGGCCAAGGGCCACAGTGCCCCTGCCACAGGGGCTCCAGGCAGCGGGTGCCCAGCCCCCAAGGAAACCCTGCCTGGTTACTGAGCTCCGAAGGAGAGGGCAGCTCACCTGAGACCCGGCTGTCAGGAAATCCCCCTCCTCGTCCTCCTCCTCCTCCTCCTCCTCCTCCTGATCCTCCTCCCTAAGCACGGCTGGAACCCGGGAGGCCTGCAGAGCTGGGGGGAGAAGTCTCCTAGGGGCGGCTGCCGTTAGCAGGGGCCTCGCCGCCCTGGCCACCTCTGCCCATCCAGCAGGAGGGGCAGGAGCTCCTGGCTGCACCCATTTCAAAGCCTGGGCCCTGGCGTTCCAGCAGCAGCTGCAGCTGCAGCTCCAGCCTAAAGGGCC